AAAAAAAAAAAAAAGAAATGCAGAACCTCAGGTCCCAGCCCAGATTTACTGAACCTGAACTTGCCTTTAATAAGATCTCTGGGATATTTGTATGCACATTTGAGTTTGAGAAACTCTGCTTTAGGAAGTATAGAGTATAAAGCAGACACCCTACAGGTAGGCAAGGACCAGGTCCCCAAGAGCCTTGCATGTCAAGCAGAAGGCACTGAAGCCTCAGCCAGGGAGGGGATCTAAGTGGGAAGCAATGCAATCCAACTGGCATTTTAAAAAGCAGACTGTAGCATGGAAAGGGGGCTCGTGGAGGGTGAGGGCAGTCTGACAGGCTGAGACACCAGGCAAACTGTAGGTGCAGTGCACCCAGAAACAAGAAGGACTGGGCCTGGAGTAAAAGCAGAGGGGATGGAAGAAGGACTGGGCTTGAGGATGCTCAAGGAAGTACACCTGGCAGAACTTGGTGACCCCTGGGTGTGAGGATAAGGAAAAAGGAGGAACTAAAGAGAAGCTGGAGTTCTGGCCCGGAAAACTAGGCCAGTGAAGGATGCCTTTGCCAAGGCTAAGAAAGCAAGAAGAGAGTGGGTCCCATTCCGTGAGTGTTGTCTCTGAGGGGCAGGCACACTGGCCAGAAGGAAACGCCAGGAAGCACCTAAGGATCCAGGTCTGTGGCTCAGCAGAGAGCTCCCGGCCGCCAGCAGGAATCCAAGGGCCTGGAGTGCAGGGGGGCTGAAAAGTGTCTTCCCAGAGAGAGTGTGTGGAGCAAGCAGATAAGATGTGGAGAAAGGACAGAAGGACAAGACAACCACAGAGAAACGATGTGAAAAGCAGGAGCTGCTCCAGGAGCCTAGGGAGACATTTGGAAATGAAGGAACAGATAATCACGTCAAATCCTACACAGGATACAATAAGGACTGAAACCCACCCCCCCCCTTATACTGGAGGTAATGGTTTTCAACTGGATGGTTCGAATGATGGCATTTTAGAATTGGAACTGATTTTCTGCTGCACTCTTTCCCAAATTTCTCTGATGATAAGTATCAGCAGGGAGGTAATTGATTAAAATACACATTCCTGGTTCCCATTCCTGACCCAGAGCGTCAGAATCTCTCAGAATCTCCAATAAAGCCGCCTGCAAAACCACGTCTTTAACAAGCACTACAGGTGACTGTCATCACAGAGGTTTGGACACCCGTCTCAGAGCCTTGCTTCTAGAACTTTAAAGTTGATGAGCGATACCTGGGGACTTTGATAAGCTGCAGGTTCTGATTCGGTAGGTTTGGGTGGGCCGAGATTCTGCATTTCCAGAAGCTCCCAGGGAACATCCATGCTGGTGGTTGAAGGACCACCCTTGGAGGATCAAGGCTAGAGAAAACACCTGTCTCATTTTGCAGATGAGGAAACAGGTTTCAAGAAGGTAAGCAGTTGATCCAAGGTGACCCAGCTGGTTCGTGGCAGAGCTGAGAGATTTGTCACACACGAGGGGGTCTCTCTGGATCGTGACTCCATCAGGTGCCCACACTCAGCCTCCAGCAAGGTTGGCAGATTAAGTGTGAGGTTAGCGAACAAATCATTAACTTCACTTGGACACCTCCCTCGTCCACCTGCTTCTTCCCCGCCTTGGTCCCTCTCCCTTTCCACGATCCCACCAGGATCTCTCGGCTTCTTTCTCTTTTCCCAAGCCTCCTCTCGGTAGCAGAAAGGCCAGATTAGGGCATGACCGCCACCTCCTCCTGCAGACAGCTGGAGGACTGGTGGGGGGAGAGTCTTACCTAGGTGAGACCCTGCCAGCCACCGTATGTTGCTGCCAGCACAGCTAATTAGACTGGCTGTGGGAGAGAAGGGACCCAGCGCTTCCACGCAGGAACGTGGTGGGGAAAGAACTTTCTTGTGTCTGGCAGGGACGCCAGAGACTATTGGCTGGAAGAGGGTGTGATGATGAGGCCATGTCCCTCAGTTAACTCTTCAGTGACTCAGAGATCCAAGACTGCTGCCCCTAGGACACCTGGACACACCAGCCCCGAAGAACACTTTTTGAGTTCTGATTCATTCACAGGCTTTTTTATGTCCTTTCCCACCGTGAATGCTGCTTCCTGACTGCTCTTTTTCTTTTGTGCAGGTGACAGCAGCGAGCACCCCCTGTTCTGTGTTGAATATTCCCCTTACTGCTCCGTCTTTGCCTTCTCCCCCGTCCGGCAGCCCAATTCCAATTACTGCTGCCTCCTCCTGCCACTCGTGCCACCTGCCTCCCTGGCGGCCCAGGTCCCCTCCCCCCACCTCCCCCCGGGGCCCGTGCCCTCCTTCATGAGCCCGCCTTCCTGGTCCCCGGGGCCCGTGCCCGAGTCCCCGGCCACCCTGTGCTACTTCCCCGTCTCCTGCCCCACCCCGGCGGAGACCCCTGTGCTGTGCCTGCCGGGCCCCAGGAGGCCCAGTAAAATTTACCTGGTGTGGTAAGTCGCCCTTGGCCAGGCACACAGCACAGTGGCGTCGGGGAGAGGGGGACGCGAGGCTTCCAGAACGCAGGTGGAGGC